ATGAAAAATGAAAAAAAAAAAAAGAGTTTCTAGAAGGTGGTTAATTATAGTGATTAAAGAAGTTAACCAAGATTCTGCTAATTAATCTGGCATGACATAAGCAAGTGACATCATGACCATGACATCATGTAGGCAAGTGGCAAGATCACATTCATGAAGTATGAGATTTGTCTGCCTATTTTCATTTTATTTTCTATTATTTTTGGAAGAATTTTGGAGGGCTAGGATTTATCCACCTAACCCTTGTAATTTTGTTGAATTCAAGGGTAAAGAGTTATTTAAATTGCTATAAATACCCCTCCCACACCCTTGCATTTTCGGCCAAGAGAGGAAGACTTGGCGAGGTTTTGTTGCTCTTAAATTTAGGTAGAGAAAAAACAAACTCTAAAGAGAGGAAGTTCACGCAAGCTTAAGGAATCATCAAAGTAAGTTTCAACCCCTCTTTTGTTTTGATGTAGGGCTGTTTTTATGACATTTTATGTTATTTGGATGGTCCTTTTCTTAAAGGGGAAATGCTGCCAAATTTTTCAAAAAAATGAAAGAAAATAGCTAAGGAGTTGAAACATGGATTAAACACTTAAAAAGGATAAGAATTGATTGATTATATTTGATGTTTTGGGGAAAAAAAAATCCAACCCCTTGAACTTGAGTATTGATTCAGCCAAGATGAGTAATTGGGGTTATAGTTAGATTCAATTCAATTTGATACTTCTAATGTATTTAAATGATGAAATGGTGTAGGGAAACACCAAGAAAGAAAAATTGGAAGCACTAAAATTGAAAATGAAAATTTTGAAATTAAATCCCCTATAATTTGGCCAAGATGATTGCAATGGGGAGGAATTGGATTTTCATGAATCTAAGTTGATATTTGGATTCTACATGAAAAATTATATAGGAATGGCTTAAGGTAATCAAGGAATCAAAGTTAGAAATAATAACACAAAAATCAAGTAAAAAGGGATTAAGGGTTATTATAATGAATGGCATAATAATGTGTGATGCCCTATTGTGTTATTAATAGGTTTTGCATCCAAAGAGCAGGAGTGTTGCTGAAGGGAAAGCTTGAAGGTTAAGGATAAGCTTGAAAAGGTAGCTAGCACTTACTATTTAGATGTTACCTCGTATTATATTTATTGCTATATGTTATGTTATGTTGCTATGCCATGATGTAGATGAAATTATGATGTTAAGTGATATTTAACTCCATGCATATAATGCCTTGGCTTATGCAATGTTAAGTGCTATGAATGGGAAACATGTTATTTCCTTCACATGGCACGTGAATGAAGTGAAAGCATGCAATAGCTAGTACAAGTGGAATGTAATACTTTGCTTAAAGTGTGACATTGTAAATGTGATGCTATACTACTAAAATTCCTATGAATCTTACCCCTCCCATATTCAAAAAATCCTAGGGCCTACAACGCCCAAAGGAAAGAGCAAGGAGATAACCAATGTATGAAGGAATACTTGATGATGTGAAATTCTATATGTCTTGGTCTTTTCTTGAAAATATTGTAAATATTTGTAAATATTCTTTTAGATGACACTTTGCTATATTTTGATGCAAATATATGCCAAATTTTTCCATTATGTCCAATTATGTGGCTAAATGATTGGTATTTTAAGTTAGAGCTTGAGTTTGAAGAGGCAAGGCAATTAGGGGATAAAAGTTAACAATTTGAGGCTAAACTTTGACCAATGTGATTCTGACCAATCCAGTGAGTTAGGTCACAAAATTTTACAGGCTAATAGATCTCATTTTTCTCTTTAAAATGAGTAGTAACATGTCTAAAATGGATATTTGTAAAAGAAGCTATGTTTATCCAAAGTTAGGTAAAAATACTAAAAAATTAGAAAATGACCAAATAAACTGTACTTTTTGAAAATTAAATTGGGCTCAAATTTGAACATAATTCATCGAGAAATTATTTTTTTTCAAAAGATAATCCAAAGAGTTTCCATTAAAAATTGGAATCACTCAATTTTGATTTTTTTATAATTAATTATAATTTTTCAAAGTTTAGCCAAATTACATATTGCTGTGAATAGTAACCCAAGAACAAAATTTTTCAAAGTTAAATTTCTCAAAACTTTGCCCATTAAATGTGATTTTATTTGCTTCTAATTAGTTAGTTATTTAATAAAAAGTGAAGGTGTTATAACTTTGACTAGAAAATGGGCTCTCACCAAAAAGGATGGGAACTGATTTTCTTTTATGCAGATGAAAATTGCCTGCAATTGGAAAATTGCTTTTTGAAAAATTGTCTAACCAAAAGTAGCAAGCCTCTAGAAAATCTTGATTTTCCTTTTCCAGAGCCAGATTTTTAGCGTAGAAAACACACTCTAAGAGCTCATTTGGTATGCTAAAAATCTTGCGATGGAAAAGGAAAATGTTGATTTTCCATTGGCCACATGCATTTGGCCGCAACATTTTTCAATAACCCATTTTCCCACGGCGGAAAATTTTCTAGTGTGTAAGGGAAGATGAGTTGCCACCAATTTTGACAGGAACCGGTTTTCCATCGCACTCGGGAAAGCGCCAAAGGCCATATTACCCTTGAAATCTGAATAAAACGCTGGTGCCTGATCAATGACCTCAATGAAAAGCATGAAAGCTGGTTATATCCCTTCTAAAACTGCTCTCTCCTATGAATCTTTCCTTCCCCTGATTCCACCTCCATGTCCTTTTTTTTTATTTATAGTATTACTTTCCATGTGAATATCCATATCAACATTACTGGGTTTGCTTATGTATTTTGGAGAAGATGAAACCACCTGATAAATTTATGGATATAATTGTTATTTTGGAGAATATGAAACCTCTTGATATGCAGCTAATTTTAACACTGCATTAGAAGCCATTTTGGGCTTGTGTGGTCGAATGCCTAGCTTACGCCTACATTTTACAGCGCCACGACGACAATCCTGATCTGCACCAAATTACCTGGGTCAATCCCCAAGTGTAAAAATGCAACTAAAAAGTAGAGCAATTGCTCATACTGGTAATCAAGCATTTGTCCTGTTTTCAGTTCAAAAAACAGAGATAAATAGCCAACTTTAAACAAGAAGTTAGTGAAGCAAATTTGAATTTGATGGAATTATATTCAGATTTTCTACATAAAATTTGAATTTGCTCATGCGGTGATCAAATCCTTGTTGCATAAAATGCAAATTTGTTTAAGCATAATTGAAAGTGATGTAAGAAAATTCAAATTTCTTTAAGCAAATTCAAATTTGATGTAAGAAAATTTGAATTTGTTTACTTCTGCTTTTGTCATATTAAAATTTAAATTTATCAAACATAACTTTAAAAATAAAAATTATTTTTAAATGGATCTCACTGTATTAGAAATTAGGCTTAGTAAGCTTTATAATGATATGTCATTTGCCTTTTTTGTAATTAAATTGAAAATAGGAACTAGTTTAAAATATATACTATATAAATTTTGTCCACAACAAAAAAATGCTCAATTAGTAAATATAGACAACAAATTGACAAAAACTACAATTTTCGCAAAACAAAATCAAGATGTATAATCTATTTTGTATAATATTTATATATATTTTATTTTCTTTAATGTATTTTATAGTTTTTTCGTTATTTAATGGTTTTTTAATCATTTGATATCTACAGCGCTTTTTTATTTCTGTTGAATATTCATATTTTATTATTTATTTAAATTATAATTTATTTTTATTTATTTTTCTAATTATTGATTTTTTAATGATAATATTATTATATAAGGTTAAAAGCATTTTTATTTAGTAATATTATATTCTTTCATTAAAGGTAATATTGTAAATTTACACAATTTTTTAACCTATTTTCACCTAACCAAATATTAAATTTCTCATCAACCTATTTTATATTCCAGTGTTTACCAATCACTTCGAAATTTTGCCTTCCGTTGCTTTGCATTCTAACCAGTTGTTTCTACCAACTGTCCCTAAGGTATTTTTTGGTACGAGAGAAATGGAAGGGAGGGGGAGGAGGAAAAAATTTTTAGTAAACTCTATTTAAAAAGTTAAAAAATATGGTTTTAAAATTTTAGTAAAAAAATAAAAATTAATTAAACACTTTTAATTTTTTAAATCGAGATTATTAAAAAAATTTCTTCGCTCCTTTTATTTTACCTCGCACCAATCAGCAAGAGGTTTAGGGTGTGTTTGGTTGGAGGGGAGGGGAGGGGAGGGGAGGGAAAATGAGCCCCTCCCCTCATTTGGTTAAAAATTTTGGAGGGAGGGGAGCTAAAATGTCCCCTCTCCTCCCCTCCCTCTCCCCATTTTGGCTCCCTCCAAATTGGGGGTTTTTGGAGGGGAGCCAAAATTTTAGACCATTATGCCCTTATGATTTTTTAATATTCCACTTCTACCCATAAAATATTATTATTAATATTTTTTTTTCAAATAAAAAATATATTATCCTAAGTAAAAAAAATAAAAAATATATACATTATTATAATTAAAAATATATTATAAAAATTATTTAAATAAAAATATAATATTATAAAATTAATTGTTTTTTATAAATATATTATTTTTTAAATATATTTTAAAGCTGGAAAAAAGATAGCCTAAGAAAAAAATTTCATTTTTCTTAGAGCATATAAAATTTGTTAATTTGATTATTTTAATATATTATTATATTAATTAGAATGAAAATTACTGTACCAATTTTTTAATACACATATTAACATGATAAGACTGAATTTTGATTAAATTATATAATTTAAATTAAGATGTAAATTAATTTATATAATACATCAATAAAAAACATAAACTAATATATAAGGGTAAATGGTAAATTGATTATTACTATCCCTCCCCTCCCCTCCTTGAACCAAATAAGGGATCATTAAATACCCTCCCCTCCCCTCCTTTTTAATCAAACCAAACAAAGTAGGATGAAACCTTCCCTCCCCTCCCCTACCTCTCCCTCCCCTCCCTCCCCTTCCCTCCCCTCAAACCAAACAGGCCCTTAGAGGAAAGGCAAGCCAGCGTCAACGAAACAAAGGGGGAGACCGAGAGGGAGTAAACGCTGAGAGTGAGAGGGAGATCGAAGCAGAGGAAGTTTTGACGGAGAGCCAGTCACGTGCGAATCGGTTTTTGAACCAAGGTAGATCCTTAAGCCTTTCTCCATCTCTGATTTCTTTGATTGGAGTATTTCTTGGGGTGAGAGGATGACTGGTTTCTAAGTTTGAGATGTGGAAAAGCTGTGATTAGGGGCCTGAAATTGTAATGGAGTTAGATTAAGTTAATATTTGGTGTTACATGTGATCGATTAACTCCGTTTTGTGATTTTCCAATCTGAGGTTTTGTTGCTCTGAATTGTGTAGGTCAGATTCCCGGAGATTAAGACTAAGGAAACGAAAGTGCTCAAGTTTAATATAGAATCAGTGATTTATGGTTGTTTTGATGCTTAATATATGACTCTCATGAGGATTGAATCTGGCTTGCTGCTGCTGTTCGAATCCGTTTGGCCCAAGGCTGATATAGATATATACACACTTTGTTGCTTGATGAAGTTGGTTATAGAAGTGTCTTCGAATCCCAACCCTGTTCTGCTACGTGAAGCTGCAATTATACGGTGTAAGTTGAAATGGGAATTTGAATAATAGAAGAACATGATGCTTTGAGATATATAGATGTTCGTGTGCTGTGATATGTGTATAAACATATATTTTCTGATTTATTTGGTGATGAAGGTTAGGGGTATCAATTTTTGAAGCTGAAAACAATGAGAGACCTATTGATCCATGTGGTGAAAACCCGCGCGCGGAACACACACACATATTTGTAGGGTTGCGTATGATTAAGGGAGACTTTTGGGTCTAAATTGTTGCGGTGGCAACCCAATTCAAAGTTGTTGCTGAATACTTCTCAATGACAAATAATTGCTTAAATGATTCAATCAAGTAGAGAGACTTTAGAATGATGACGTGAAGCTCACTGACTGATGTTGAACGATTAAGCATATAAGTTGATAAGATTATGATTTTGATCCTGAAAAGAAAGGTTTGGAATAATGATTGTGAGAACTACAAATATATAGTTAAAGGATACTGTCAAGAGCTTGAGTATCAAGCACTAATTAAGGGATAGTTACAGAAGCTAGAGATAATGTTTACGAAGTTGAAAGTTGAAGAAGACTTATTATTGATTACCTATAAATGTTAGCAATTGTTTTTATAATGGTTAAAATCATTTGGAAAGAAGTCCCTAGAAGCATGAGGTGCTATTCTTTTTTTTGAGCTGAAAGCATGAGGTGCTATTCAAAAATTATAAAAAAGATGGTGTTCTTATATTGATTGAATGACGTGAATTAAGTAATAATAAGTGCTATGTTATTGTTAGCTTTTTTTTTGTTTTTTTGTTTTTTTGCCAGCGTTGTATTATCGTTGTTTGATGGAATGGGACCCTGGAAACTGAATTAAATTTGTTGTGCTGTTATTGATATTAACTAATAAGTATTTTTTTTAACAAAATATTTAAGTGAGATTGATATAGCTAATAGTAGATTGAAGCCTCTTCAAATAAGATATGTGTTCGCATGTTGATTTTTGTCTTTGGGTGAAGATTTTCGAATATGCATGGACCCATTTGTTTCCTAGGCGATTTACTTGATTTCTTATGGAAGCCTCGTAGAAACACTCAAATGCTAAGATAAATAACTTTCACAAGGGGTGATGTGCTTTTATGATGCTTGCTGATTATTGAAGTTGAATCTTTGGATTGAGACTAAAGAGAACTCATTGTTTTGATGCCCCAGCATGTAACACAAGTGTTTAAAATTATTTAAGCAGGATTCAGGATGTCAAAGTAATGATTTATACTGTTATTAAAGCTAGAACATATTTCCAAATTTAGTAAGGAATGCTGTCCAAATGTTTAGAAGCTGTCGGTGTACTACTACAAATTATGTTATTTTCGTCTGTTCTGAAGGCTCACTTTAGTCTATTTAGATAGAAATGTTGACTGAAAAGTCATAGATGAGAGTTATATATTCGTCTCTTGTATAACAGACGAGTATGAGGAAGACTATATTTGTCTGGTCCAAAACAGACAAATATGCAGCAACCATATTCATTTCTTTTATAAGAAAAGATGAATATGGTGCTGCATATTCGTATGTTCGCTATAAAGCAGATGAATATGCATCACTCATATTTGTCTATTTTATGAGAATAGATGAATATGGTGCTGCATATTTGTCTATTCCCTATAAAACAGACGAATATGCATCATACTTGTCTGTTTTAATATGAACAGACGAAAATGTTCTTTTTTGGGGGAAAAAAAACAGTTGAACATGTTATATGCACAATTTTTATTCAACCTAAAATTCAGCAATTCAGCAATTCAGCAAAACCAAAATATGGACTACAAATAAATAATAATTCACCATAACCAAATCTTTCATACTAACTTCCTAACTAATTCCATACACGCCTAAGATAATCATATATAACACAAGGAAGTTCTAAAACTAGAAAGTCTACTAAAACTAGAAAATCTTAGTTAAAGCAAAATGAACTAAATATCCTAACAGAAAATCATCTTTAATCTAATTAATGTATCATTGAGAAAAAAGCTCTCGAAGAAATTGTCCTACTAACTGTTCTCGAATACCATCAATGTTTTCATCAGTGTAGGAGCTCTCATTGTCAAATATCTGTAAGATCATAAATAATGAAATTTTAGTCTAGTAATAGAATTCAAAAAAAGGCAATAGTTCAATTAAAAAAAATGCAAATAATCATAACTAAATTGATTATTACTAAATACCCTGAATTTTTTAATTCAGGAAAAGTAGAAAAAAAATTCATTTTATGGAAAAGATTATTTCCATAATAGGAAATAAAATAGAAAAAATTATGGAACATTAATTTTGAGAACTTAGAAATTTTATGGAAAAGATTATTTCCCTAAAACTTGTTTAAGTAATTTTAAAGTTAATTTTTGGAACAGAAATGACCTATTTCCTAGAAATTCAAGGAAAAATAGTTAGAGGTTTATATTTTAGTTAAAAATTTTAGGATAATTATTTTATGAGATAAAGAAGTTAATTGAAGCACAAAATATTTAAAATGAATGAAGGATTAATTTTTGGAATTAAGGGCCTTCTTTTGAACAATTCAAGAAAAATAGTTAGGAATTGATTTTTCACCCAGAATTTTTAAAGAAATTAATTTATGGGTCATAGAAGCTAATGGATAAGGAAAATTCATATAAATGATGATGGATTATGTTATGGATATATTTTATATTGGGAAAATAACATAAACATGATTGTTGAATTTCAAAATTCCCAAACAGTTACTTAAATAAGAAAAATTTAGGTTTAGGTATGGGTGACTAAATTGAGATTTGCAAATTTGCTAAAATGATCATATTGCCCTTTATCATTTTTTTTGGGAAAAAACCATTTCGAAGTTCAGGTGGGCCACTAACACTGAAGCTTTGACAACAGGCCAACAACCAGTCACTGGAGCTCCGGCAGCTAGCAAATTTTTTTTTGGAATTTCTTACAATTTTAATAACATGATTAACGAGTTCTTTTATGCTATTAAAAAGTGTGGTATAACAGTTAATAACAAAATTTTTGAAAAAATTCAAAAGGTGGCGTTTTTGTAACTTCAATAATACGGTTAACAAGTTTTTTATTATGTTCGATTAGCAAGTTGACAACAGTTTTTTCAAAAGTTTTTTCAAAAAATTCAATCTAACAACTTCTTAGTAAACTTCAGCAATTAATAAGTTCTGTAACTCTATTAACAAGTTTGGTATAACAGTTAATAATAGGTTTTTTTAGAAAATTCAAAAAATGATATTTTTACAACTTTAGTAACGTAATTAA